CTTGGGAAGCGCGGCGGCGCTCCCACCGAGGGTTCGGATCCCACATACAGACCAGTTCCCGCTCACTGGCTGAGCGAGACACGGGGGCAGCACCAAGGGCTGCAATCCCGTTGCCGGTCCCGGTCCGGTATGGGGGCGACACTGAGGGTTGCGATCCATTGCCGGACACGGAAAAAGACAAAAAAAAAATTCATTTAAAAAGATTTTAGATTTTCCTTTTTAAAAATATTGTTTTATTTTATATTGACTAGAGTTTGGTTGCAAAGATAGAAATTAAAATAAGATGTTGTTATTTAGTTTGAAGCACTTGTTGCTTATTAGAATATGTGATAATATATTGTTCATTACTTTGGAATTTAGTACATGAGGAACTCATCACTGTGGCCTGTAGGGTTTCTTTATTCTCAGGAAGCTGAATCGTTTTATTCTAGTCATTCACCAAATTTTCCAGCAAGACTGCTGGTAAGTACCAATCAGCTAGTGTTAGTTTGGTTTTTTAACAGTTAAAGAGATGGGAAAATGAAAAGCCTAGAGTTGCTCCAAGGTGTAAACTTGGAATTTCCTGTGGGGATTGCTGGAATGATGGGCCAAGTCCATGTCCCCAGACTTCTCCCTTGAGATCCCAGTATGGTCCTTAATCCCTTGGATTTCTGGACAGAAATTCAGAAAGCAAGAAACAAACAAATGCATCTTCACACTGGAAGCTAATAAAGTAGTGAGACCTTTTGTGAGGTCCATCATCTCCCAGAACTTCCCTGGACCCAATCCCAATGTGGGCCCTCTAGAGCAATGTTTCCCAACTGTGGGTCATGACCTACAATAATCAGTTCAGTGGGCCACTAGATGTAGTGGGTCATGACCAGAAATTTTTAAAATAAAATAGAATAGAAACAAACTGCATTACACATAGTAAGGGAGTCAATATTGTTTTATAGCAATGTTTTATTTCAATTATAAATGCAAGCCCACGTGTGTGTGTGGATAAATATTTTTTATGTAGATTGTGGTGAAAACAGTTTGAAAGCTTCTGCCTGGAGGGACTTCAGGGCTTCAGGGGTCTGTGTGGCCATGTCAGGTGTAACGGAGGCAAGAAGACCTCATCCCCAGCAGCAACAAAACCCTAGGGCAGGGACTATCTTCCCACACCACTCACAATCATGGCAGAGCAGTGAGGAAGTACAGAATCAGGTTAAGAGCATACACCAGCTTTGGAGTTAAACTTAGGAGGAATCCTTCTACTCACTCTCTGTAGGACATATATCTATAAAATGGGACTTGTGATTGTGCTATGTCCTCTTACCCGCTGATGCTTTTGTATGGGTTAAATGCAATAGCACATGCAACGGTCTTAGCATGTTTCCTGGACCACAGTAGGCTCTCAGGAGTGGCAAATATAATTAAAGCACTGTGGTTCCTTTGGTAATCTAAGTGAAGACAGGCAATGAAAATTAAGATTTTCCAAAAGTCTCCTATGTGCCAGGCATGTCGGGGAATCTTACTTAAATTTTCATATTTAATGACAACTCTAAAATGTAAGTTTTGTATTCTTGAGGGTAGGAAGGTTAAAGAACTTGCTCATCCCTGGAGTGTAACCTCATATCATATATGATAGGGCACTTTTATCAGAACTATGAATTACCTAATGTTGTTAATGTTCACAGCAAAGTAGTATAGCTAAGATTCAGACCCAGGACTGCTCACTTCAAAATCCTAGCATGGCAATTGTCAAAACATAATGATGATAATGATCATAAAAAAGAAGAAAAATAAATTAGCTTTAAAACCCTAAGACAGTACGACTTCCCCTTCCATGGTTAATGGTTTCTAGTGCATATCTCATCAATACAGTGGTGGTCCCTGGTGAGTCTTATTTAACACCAGGAGAGTTTTAGGGTTATCACCATCCACTAGAATGTTAGCTCGAGAAGGTAGAGGTTTCTTTTTGTTTGTTTACTGCTGCATCCCCAGTGCCTAGAATAGGAGGCATCCATTAAATATGTATTAAATAAGTGAATGAAAAAAAATCCCTCTTCTAGAAAAATGTATGTGCATAGTTAATCTAAAGGATCACAGCACAAAAGTAGTCCCTGGGTCTTTAAATGAGTCAAAAATCCATTTGGTGGTATAATGACTTTTGGGCTGCCCAAAGACTCATTAAGGCCATGTCTACAAAGAACCACCTCTAACAACTAAGTATTATTTGGCCCCCAAATCTGCATATTTTCTTGCCCCATTTTACTGGGCTATAAAATAATAGAGTAGAGAACATTTGAGACCATATAATACTCGTGCCATTTCTTGGATCTTGAGAATCAGACCCTAGCGGGACCTAAGAGTGTGCTTTATCAATAATGTTGGCAGCTATCTGACTGAGTATCCAGGAGCAAAACATCATGTTCACGCAGAGCTGTTGCCCAAAATGTAAACTATAGAAAGAGAGGAGGGAAAAAATGTGTCATATGAAATATTTGCCTCCATAGAAATTTGTTTGCAGAGGAAATTATATTAAACATCATCTACTAAAGGAATCAACAGTATTTTCATCATCACCGTCATTGTCATTTCATCATCATCAGATTTTAAAGGCAGGAACAAGCAGCTCTCTTTCTTCATTCAGGTTGAGGACAGTCTTGGTTTAAGGCAGAGGATTTCCGAGATAACCTTGTTGGGTCCTTCCCTAGTTTATCATGGCATCTTCATAATCATTTAGTGTTTAAAACTTTCATGGAACAGTAGGCAGACACCGCAATATAATGCAAGTTAAAGCTGAGAAGTAGATGTCTTTAGATGAGAAGGGTGTTAGAAAAATGGGCATTCACTAGGAAAGCAGTTCGTAGAGAAAATATAGGAGACCAAAGATTTCAGGTCTCTAGTACTCCTATAATTCTGAATCGCTGCCATAAAAAAGAAGTCTATTGATGTCTGGGGAAACTGAAAATGGTCATGGTAAATGGAAGCTATATGGTTCATTTACTGCTATAAAGGATTCCATCAGCTCTTCTGTAAGTTATTATAACTGCATTTGAAAATGTGAATGTTACAGTAAGATCCAACAGCAACTACCCAAGACGGGATTAAAACTGTTAGATGGTTTATCATTTTTTTAAAATGCTTGTTAATATAATGATTTACTAAAGATATTTGAGCCAATTAAAGAGTTTGTTGCAGGAATTGTTATAAATCTCTGGGTTTTGTTTTGTTTCACAGTTTTTCACTTTCGAGCAGTACAAGAAATTGCTAGGATATGTGTCACTGTCACCAGCATTGGTAAGTGAGAGTATTTATTATGTTTAAGTGTGTGTGTTATTTCATCAAGCAAAATCTAGAAACAAAAACTCTTTTGATTCCCCAAGCCCAGCTACTAAAATATGAATTCAAGTTATTCAATGTTCAGCTACTTGTTGAAAGCCATCTTCCTAATAATTCACAATTTGGCTCTTTTATAGCTCCCAGTGATGAATTTATGGTAATAATGATATGTCTGAAAAGGCCTGCAAGAGATATAGTCAAGGATATAAAATAAAGAGTACATTGATCAAAGACTCTTTTAAAACCAAAACATGCCTATGTTTACATACATACTGCATGTATCTATTTATGCAAAAGCCAATATGCCTAAGATTATGTCCTAACAGGTCACTTTTCCAGCTCTTGCTCATGCTGTAGTAAATATAGGGCTTCAAGTCATTTTGGAGAAAATCATTCTGTGGTCAGATGCAGACTGAAGGGCCTTTTATAGGAATGACTGTAAATGGCTCAACCAGGGAGAATAGTGATTTTACAATGACATGTCTCAAATATTACACGAAATTCACTTGGTGATTTGAACGTTTCCCTATGCCACTGCTCTCTTTTGTGGTGACCTTGCTACTTTTCACAAAATGAGTTAAATTATATTGATCAAATAGGCTACAAATGTGTGTGCAGCAAAAGCCCCAGAGAGAACAAAGGCGCTAATTTCTCCCTCCACATCTGCAAAATGAAATAAAACAAAACCTGCAATGGCCCTCCAATTGGCAATGTACCTACCCTCCAGCCTCTGGGAAAATCCCCTAGTTTTCCCCCTGAAATGTACTTCAAAATTCAACCAGAAAGGCAGTGTTCTGAGTTTCAACTCTTTAATTACTTGTAAAGGTTCATTTCAGAATATTTACTCTGCCAGATAGACTGTCCAAGAAGTATCTGTTATTTTAAAAATCATACATGCCCCTTTCTATGAAGGATCCTGTCAAGAAACCTAATAGTATCACTTTCCATGATGACAAAGAAACCTCTTGTCTAGCTCCTGCCTAAGCAAGGTGGCTGTGAAGCATAGTCTTCCAGAAAGGAGCGGTGGTACCGTGAATTGCAAAATTAGCTAAGAATTTTTAAATTCCTCATTGTCTTGCCTAAATGTCATTCTTAACTCTAGAAACATGTTGGTAAAAAGAGGATTAAAAACATTTTAGCAAGACACAGTAAAATATGGTCTCCAGAGGGCCAGCTGTCTAGCTCCTGCCTAAGCAAGGTGGCTGTGAAGCATAGTCTTCCAGAAAGGAGCGGTGGTACTGTGAATTGCAAAATTAGCTAAGAATTTTTAAATTCCTCATTGTCTTGCCTAAATGTCATTCTTAACTCTAGAAACATGTTGGCAAAAAGAGGATTAAAAACATTTTAGCAAGACACAGTAAAATATGGTCTCCAGAGGGCCAGCTGGCTGTTCTGTGTTGAGCATTGGTACCATGTGAGAGACTGCAGGTCTTTTGATTCTTGAGAATTGAAACAGAAAAGCATTTGGCCAGTCCAGCTACTATAACCAAATGCATACAAACTGTATACAGTTCTTCTCTTTTCTTGAACTCATTTAGTCCAGTTTCTTTTGTGATATAGCTAGACACTTAAGCAGCCGTTAAATGTCCCCTGGTGCTCTCACTTGAAAAGCCTAGGAGGCTGGAAACCCGTCATTAAACGCAGGTCTCTGGAACAATCTAAGTAACATGATCTGCTGATATCTGATCAATTCTTTTGACAAGGGACTGCCAAACATTAGTTGTGACAGCAAATGTAGCCGAGTTTTATAGGAGAGCAAAAAAGTGAATTACTTGGAAGATTGCATATAGCAAGTAATAAAAACCTGAACATCTGGATTTTAGCTTTCCCAGTCAGAAGTGTTTGGGACCAGCATTTTTTCCCACTTTTGGCTTCCATGATGGAAGTCTGAGATAAATGAATAAAATGTTTGGTCAGTTACCCTATACAAATATGTTTATAATCGTAATGAAAGAGGGATGAAAGGAAGCTATCACTAGTTCTTCCCTCTCTCCTAGAATCTGCATGTAATCCCATTCTTCCTCACTTTTTGATGTGTAACAAGAACAATGGTGTTTGTATAGCATTTTACAAAGGGCTTTCACACATTATTTTGACCCTCATAATAACTTACAAGGTAGGGAAATTAGATATTATTATCTCCATTTTACAGACAAGAAAACTGTGGATTATCAAAGCTTCAGTGACTTATACACACAGCCACTGCTAGCACACATGGAGCCTTTGTGTGGATTATGAAAAGGTGTCCCTTTCTCCTGATTGATGCCTCTCCAGGGCTCTGGCTTGGCAAGTGGGGTGCAGGCTGCATTTCAGCCTCCACACACACTTGGCTGAGCACCTTTGTGCACGAACTACTGTGCGTGGCATCTCTGGTCGCATAGCTAATAAGTGGCAGAACCAGCACCTAAACCCAGACCTCCCGGCTCTCAATCCTGCCCTCATTCCACCCTGCCTCCCCTGCTAAGGTTACAGAACATTCCTTTCTCCCTTCTCTCTTTAAGTCTCCTATTTTAAAGATATTAGAGACCCTTAATGAGAGTGATCTGTTCTTTACTCTTATTTCGTTTTATTCTCTTAGCTGTATATAGTACCACCTCTTCTCCTGGAATTAGAGGCTTAGCACAAAGAAATACTTTTTTCTAGCATCTATCTTGGAGGTTGGTGGTTTTGTTTCATTTTGTTTTTCTGCTGTGTGTGTGTGTTTTAATTGCTGTGGTTATTTTTGATACAGATTTCCTAGAAAACCCTTAAGCATTCTACTTAGAGGAAAATTCCAGAAAGTTGCTTTTTCCTATTGCAGAAATTCTTAACAGATTGCAAGTAAGAACCTGACATACTGTCATCCTTTGATAAATGCTCCAGATTTTAGTTGAGACCTTCAGAACAATCTAACCATTTCTGATCTCAGCTTTTATTCCTCAACTTTTAGATCCAGAAGAATGGGGCAATTACCAGTTTTTTTTTTTTTTCTAAAATAGGAAAAGGGTGAATAATTTTTTTTTTTTTTTTGATTCTTGGTAGCATAGAATAGTGACTCTAGGAACATACTAGACATTTACATGTTTCTGGCTATGCTATTTGTTACCTGAAATTTAGCTTTTTATAAATATCTTATTTATGGTTCTGCTCTTTGGATTTCTCTATGTGCTCAATAAATATATTTAAGCAGATGTTTAAAAACGAAGCTCTCCTTTTACAATCCAAACCTTCTTTTAATTGTTATATGTACAGATGTTTTAGTATCTACCTTAAATCAGTAAAACAATCTTGCTTTTTGTTAAAAGAAAAATCATTGTTGATGGGGCCTTGACATTTTATTTTGAAATTGTTAGGATGTGGTTTGTGGCTTCTGTAATTTCTTCTTCATGAATTGTCAGCATCTAATCAAGAACTAAAGCTGTTTAGTAATGGTATATGGTGCATTTATGTAGGTTCTCCATACTCATCATAACATTCAGCTGCATGTGATGAATAGGATATTTAACCCAGGACACATGATAACTTGTTTTAAAGTATTGATTGATTTAATTTTTCTAGACATTTGCCATTGCCGGATTGGGATCTGGACTAACAGAAGCCATCGTGGTTAACCCTTTTGAAGTAGTAAAAGTTGGCTTGCAAGCCAACCGGAACACATTTGCAGAGGTAACCATTTAATGTTTTCCTATTGTTGAGGAAATATAAAAAATTATTTTTAAGTATACATATAGAGTTATGGGCCCAGCTGTTATCCACTTATTAAAGCCATAGTAAATCACTGTTAAGGAAATAACATAAGGAAAAGTCAAATATCTTCTGCAGGCATTAACAGAAATAAACTAAGATCTGATGGACAAACACATGTTCAGACATTTTTGTTTTGGAGTTCAAAAGAATCTATAATGACTTCTTTGGAAATGTTTTTCCAACTTTTGGCAAAACTTCTGTTTTACATTGCACTCGAATAGACTATAGCAAAACCACTGAGGTGATAATATTATTGTGCTTTAAAAAAAATGAAGTCATTTTAAAAAATTATCTCACTCCTTTTCCCACTCCACCCACTACCCTTCCCAAAAGATTCTGATAATCTGTCAAACTCATCTTTTGGTTAAATCTAAAGGAGCAAGTTACTAAACCTGTGCAGACATCACCACCAGGACAATGATGGGTCTTGACATCTAATCATCAGTACATGATGTTCCTCGGTGTGTGCTGCCTTCACTTCATTCCAGTTGCCTAACAATTCTTTTAAACCACCAAGCCCAACTATTCTTGTCTTATTCTTTTAGGTGCCAAGCACAGTGTAGGGGGATAGCAATGGGTTGGCATTCCAGGCCCTTTCTTAGCATTTTAATTTAATTCCACAACTGGGTAGCATGTGGTGTAAATTGGCGTGGAGTACCTGCTGACCTGAAGTTGTCTGTAGAAAAGTTCCCCTGCCTACTACTTTAGCAGCTGCTGATGGGTGGAGACCCCCTCACCCCCACACCACTTCCTGACTGCTGATACTGCCTGAGAGGTTTCTGGCAGCTTCTTGGGCAAGTAAGTGGGGAAGAAGGCACTTACTCACCTGGAGGTGCCAAGACCTGGGGGGACAGGGTTGGGCTGCTGCAGCAGATGGTATCTACTCAGATAAAGTCAGTCCTAATTCAAGGTGATTTTTTTTAAGTTTCAAAACATTGTCCGAATTACAATGATATATGAGGGGGTCTTCAAAAATTTCATGGAGAGTTTTGTATTATCTCTTAATTCTATTTTTTCACAAGTTTTTTGAAGTACTCTCATATAGCACTTCAGAAAAGATCGAACATCTCTGTATTCCCCTAGTTTTTGTCTCTGTTTTTCTTTACTTCTTTCTTGAATGAAAGAAAAGATGGCAAGGAAGAGGGGGGAAAGACAGAAAACATTTTTCAAATGTCCTATCAATATGGGGCATTTAAACCAGTTCCCATGGGATATGCTCAAGGAAAACTTGGTTTGTTAGACTGCGAGAATTACCAGCTAGAAGGAAATTTTAGAGATGGTGATCTCTAATCCATCCAATGCCTCCCTTTACCTATTAGATAGGTCGTCTTGGGGCAGCAATGAGTGGGCAAAGGAATAAATAGGCTTTCAGTGGCAGTCCTTTATCTGGGCAGATGTATGCACAGGGACACAAGTGGGACAGAGCACCAAGGAGCACTCACAGGAATGAGAATAGTAAGCGTTCTCACAGCACCTCTCCTCATGCCCGCTGTCCTTTTTCTCTCCTCCGCCCCCAAGGAGGTTCTACAGTGAGGTCAAGTAAGTGCTACTAATGTTTTGCATGTGCTGAGGCCTTACTAGAACATGACAAACACCCTTCCCGCCCAAACAAGAGTATGTGTACATCTGTGTACTACATTTGCATGAGTGCAGCCGGTGTAAATTGTTCATTTATGTGTATTCAGCCATTTTTTAAGCTGGGGGTGGAGGAGGCTTGTTTGGGGTCATTTCTTTTGCAGAATCTGATGAACTGGACATTGTCAGATATTTACTGAGACTAAAATCTGTTAGGTGTACTATACAATATCTTAAATATTACTTCAACTAGTTAAGTGATCAAATAGGTCACACCCATCAGCAATATGTGTCAGATTTCAGCAACTGTCAGATTTCAGTAGCTGAACTGAGGTGGCATTTTCATGTAGTTCTTTATAGGCATTATTGATCAAATCAAGACAGTAGTTAACAGAGGGTGGTCACCCAACATAAAGTAATGGAACTATACTTATTGCAAAAACTGTTGGAGAGAAACATATTACATAATAAGAATAGAAAATTTGGATCTAGTTATTTTTTAAAAAACCCAGTAGTTACTGGTCATTTTTGCTATTCTTTTGCAGGATTTGTTAATGCCAAAGCCCTCTTCCATTGACTAGTTCTTTCTTTTATTCAACAAAGGGATACCCTTTTGTTAATCTGTACCTGTGGCGATTTAATTCAAATATTAAGTGTGCTTACTTCAGCATTTGTATGGCAAAGAATAATTATTGCTTCCTTCACTCTAAAATAGATGCTCGGCACTATATGTATATCATGTTATTTTAATCCTGTCAACAAGTATGTGAGACGGGTTGTCTAGTATAAAAGGGAGGTCGGGAGGAGGGGGAAGAAGAGGAAGAGAAAGTCGAAGAAAGGAACTAAGTTCACGTTCATTGCATTTAAAGATTATACTTCATTTAAAAAAATTTAATCCAAGTATAAAAGTAATGCATATTTATGTTAGAAAACACCAAAAAATTATATATTTTATACAGACTATATTTAAACTGAATATATATATATATATATATGTGCGAGCCACACTTTCTGCTAGTTATATTAAAAAAGTGAAAAAGGAACAGGTGAAATTAATTTAAAAATATATTTTATTTAATTGGTATATTAAATTTTTTTCTTTAAGACTTTATTTTTAGAGCAATTTTAAGTTCACAGCAAAATTGAGCAAAAGATGCGGAGATTCCCATAAACCCCCTGCCCCCACGCATGCACAGCCTCCCCCATTATCAACATCCCTCACCAAAGGAGTACATTTTTACAATTGATGAAACTGCACTGACATATCAGCATTGCCCAAAGTCTATAATTTATATTAGGTAGCGTTCGCTCTTGGTGTTGTACATTCTGTGGGTTTGGACAAATGTATAATGACATGTATCCAGCATTATAGTACCATACAGAGGGTTTTACTGCTCTGAAAATCCTCTGTTCTCTGCCTATTCAGCCCTCATCCCTCTTAATCCCTGGCAACCACTGATCTTTTTACTGCCTCCATAGTTCATTATTTCAACATGCAACTGGCATAAAAATTATATGAAATATTTACATTCTTTATTCATACTAAATTTTTTAATCTGATGTGTATTTTATGTTTATAGCACATCTCAACTAGGACATTTCAAGTACTCAATAGCCACATGTGGGTAGTGACATCCACATAGGACAGCGCAGGTCTAGAGGGATTCATACTAAACTTCTAACTGTGGTTACTTCTGGAGAGGAGAGTAGAAGGGGGAAGGGGAATGTAAGGATTTAAGAGAAGGGCTTTGTGTAGTTGAACATTTTAATATGAGAATGTATTCATGTGTTGTCTGTGAACATTTACTTTAAGAAGTTATATCTGCTCATTGTAGAAAAATTAGAAAATATAGAACAGAATAAAAATAAGCATGTACTCCAAAAGAAATGCTCCTAGTGGTCAAGCCACACCTTCAGGGAAAACCTTCTCAGCTAATCAGGTTCCCACCTGACTTGTGGTTCATATTGGGGCTCAGCCTTGCACAGTGCACGTTCCATGTCTCCATTTATAGTAGCTGGAACCCCCATTTTTTCCTGCTCTGTAATTTCTTTTTTTTTTCTTTTCTCCTTTTTGTCTTTTTTTTTTTTCGTGTCCGGCAACGGATCGCAACCCCCAGTGTCGCGCCCGTACCGGACTGGGACCGGCAACGGGATCACAACCCTTGGTGTTGCTCCCACACCTCGCTCAGCCAGTGAGCGGGAACCGGTCTGTATGTGGGATCCGAACCCTCGGCGGGAGCGCCACCGCACTCCCAAGCGGCACACTATAGCAGTGCGCCACCGGGCCGGCCCATGCTCTGTAATTTCTAGCAAAGTTAAGCCTTGTGTATAAATAATTGAAGAACACAGCAGAGCTATCTAGAACAGGAAGGCAGTTGGAGAACTGGCAAAGCAGGCCCAGGGTTTGGGGAGAGATGCACCCAAGTTCCCATCACACTTTTTACTATTTCCTAACAGCCTGGCCTTGAACAAAGTCCTTGCAGTTCCCTCACTGGTAAAACAGCGGTGATCAGCCCATCTTCCTTAGTGTCTGTGTAGTGGTTAGAAGCACGAGTCCTAGAGGGAGATCTCAGTTTTTGACTATGTTTTGGCCTCACATTTTCTACCCTGACTATAGCTCAGTTTCCTCTTTTGTTGGGAAAGAATAATAGTAATAACCACATCAAATGGTGTAAAGAGGGTTAAATGAGATGTATATATAAAGCTGTCAATACAGTCTGGTGTGTAGTGATGGTTTAATAAATGTTAGTAGTTATTATTACAACATGCTTTTTATGAGAATTTAACTGTGATAATATATGCAAAGGTCTTGACACAGAGCCTGGCAAATGATCGGCACTCAACCAACAATAACTATTTCTAGTGCAAGTTGATCTTATAAATCCTTAAGTTTAAGTAGAGACAGATTTATCCTGAGATATTGCCCCAATTAATATTGAGCAGTCACAGCTGACTCCACTTGTGGGAACAAAAACAGCTTACTGAGCGATGGCCAGTCTTCTCCTTCTGTCCGCCTTAGGTCGTTCTCAGATTCCAGTACCATCCATCCATTGACCCTGAATTCTTTATCGAGGTTTAAGGACTGGCACCCTGCTTACAGTGTCTTTTGACAAGCTGTTTAAACTCAGATGCAGGTTTACCATCTTAAACAGTAGTAGCTGAATATCTGTTTGCTGTAAAAAGCCAATATGTAGCACTAGAACTTAGAGGTGAAACTAAAAACATTTGGGGCCAATTTGGGAGAAATTCTGCCACAATCAAGATATTCTTCCTCTGGAATAATTGTATAAAGTTAACGTGTATTCTTGACCAAGCCTTCTTGGTCACTTCACATGGAAGATTGT